GTTAGCTCTCTCACTCAACTCTTTCATACACTTTTCTTTTTAAATCTGTTTTTATTTCACTTTCCTGTTGGTCTTTCCCCTTCCCTTTCCATTTTCTGTAAAGTCTCAATTCAGAAATAACACAAAATTAAAATCTTGATTACTGTTAATCATTGTTAGATAAAAATTAATTTGGAGGCACAGCTTGCTATAAATCAGAAATATGGCCCATTTGCTATCAAAGAATTATCATTTTAAAGAGAGTAAAGATTTTAGATTATTCAAGGCTGTAGGCTTGGTGGCTGCTGCTGCTTGTTTTTAAGTATAGTAAAATAATTTTTGTTAAGTCACTTATCTGGTGTTCAAGCCAACATTAAGTCTTTTGGTTTATTATTCATTGTTTTTTTTTCCATCATGCGTGGTTGAATACTGAAACTTACTGATATCAGATATCATGGGTGTATGTAAGAAATAAATTAGATGAGATTTTGTTTTAAACTCACTTAAAGGACCAGATAAGAAGTATTGATTTTCAGTAGGAAGAACTGAGACATAGTAGTCTATGACAGTTGGGTCTCGTCAATTGTAAATAGAATCCTTTGTCTTTTTAAAAAGAGTTTTTGTCTCTTCTAGTATTACATTTTTAACAGCTGGTAGACACCCCACTAAAGAACATATTTCTTTAAAAACAAGACTTGTCAAAGGACTTGGATGGAGCATGAACAGTTTAAATACACTTCTTCTTGTCTGCAGTTGTGGAGATGATTTGACACCTTTGGTTGCTTATTTTAAATTATATAGGGCTGGGGATTTACCTCAGCGGTTCGGTAGCCTGCCTGGCAAGTGCAAGGATCCGAGTTCAATCCCCAGTACTATAAAAAAACTAAAAAAACAAAAACAAAAAAACCACCCCAGATTAAATTATATAATACAAAAGCTAACTTTTATAAAAGATATGCTTTTGCCATAGTTCTTACATTTTAAACAGGAATTAAGATTGCTGGACACTATTTGCTGAAAAAGAAGGTACAAGAAGACAAAGACTATAAATTGGAAAACTTTAAATATAGTTCTTTGAAGTGACTGAATGTAAAAAATAAAAATAGTTTTCCTATTAACATTAACTAATTAGAAAAAAGGATTAAAGTCAAAGTGGTAAGAAAATGTAACCACCTTTAAAAAAACAAAAAAAGAAATGTAGCCTCTTGTGAGGCGACACCTACAAAATTACTGGGTAATAAAAGAAGATAAGATATTAATCCCTGGGAAGAGATACTCTGCCTGGGAAGACTGAAAACTGTTAAGATGGAGTGGAAATTTTGTATAAGGTAGCGAGAATCTTAAATATTTTTTTCCTTGTGACCTAGGAATTTTACTTCTTGGAATTTGTCCTAAAGAAGTCATCCTTATCAGGGATGGAAACATTTTCTTTTTGGCTTCTTATATATTTTCTGGTATTCCTTCCTAGTACAAGTAGATAGTACTCAAATCCAGCCATATTTTTGCAGTTCTGCTTCCTCTTTTCTTGCCCCTCTATGAGTAAAATATGCAAAAGGGGCTGGGGTGTGGCTCAGTGGTAGAGTGCTTGCCTAATATGGGCAGGCCCTGTGTTTTGTCCTCAGGACTACAAAAAAAACAAAACAAAAAACAAAAACCAAAAAACCAAAAAAAAACCAAAAAACCCAAAGCAAGTTAAAAAAAAGAAAGTTTAGGGAGGGGATTGCATCCCTGGTGGGGCTCAGTAATATTGGATTCTAGTCCTCTGAAGAAGTCTTTGAAGCCCAGCATGGTGGCACATGCCTGCAATCCCAGCTATTTCATAAACTGAGACAGGAAGATCGATGATTCCAGGCCAAGACCTTGTTTGAAGATAAAATTTAAAAGGGTCAGAGATGTAGCTTATAGGTAGAGTGTCTCTCGTTTCGGTTCTGAGAAACAACTGGAAAAAAGAAAGGTGGCGGGGGAGGGGGAGGGAGTTGCAAAACAAAACTTACTGCTTAGGGCACCTAGTGTAGTAAATTTGGATTTGGTCTTTTGGGGGCGGGGTAGGGGAGACAGGCATTGTTTAGACCTTGACCTTCAGGAGTAGTGCTTTGATCTACAGTACTTTACCAAAGAATGTTGCTTTGAGGTATCTAGCAGTAACATAGATTAAAGCATTTGAGCCAAGCTACTTGGAGCATGCCTATAATCCCAATCCTGAGGAATTCGCAGTTTAGAAAAATTGTCTCAAAAGTCATAAAAAATAAAAATTAGAAAAAAGGCTGAAGATATAGCTCATTGTGAAGGCCCTGGGCTCAGTACCAGGTTCTGCCAACAAACAGGCATTTTGATTTCCAATTTGATAATGTCTTCTTACTCTTCTCTCCCTCACTACCCTTTCCTTTTTGTCCATCTCTCTTTCCCCTCATCTCCTTCCTCCTACTTCATGTTGGTGTGTAGAGCAGAATTTGTGTACTCTCCCAGCATCTTCAATTTAAGTGCTTTTCATGTCAGATACACAAGATATTTCAGAACCAAAAAGGATATGGAAAGGGATCTTAAAGCCACAGGCCTTAAGCTCTGTGTACCCATTGTTTTCAAATACTGTATAGGCCATAACCCATTAGTAAAATCAACCAAATGGGCTGCCATTATGATTAAAGGATAATAAAATACATTTGTTATTGAAAAAAATGAGTGAATTTGTAATTTGAAGTATAAAAATGTATTTATGTGGGCCACTGTCAAACTTAGAAGGCTATTTGCTTTAGTGAAATACTAGTTAATAATGCCCCAGACTTCTCTTGAATTGCATCATTCTTAAACTGGGCAAGGTTTGTGAACAAAGATTCAGCATTAATATATTGCAAAATTTGAGCAAAGAAACATTATCAGGAGACATAATACATTAGATGATTTGCTCAAATTAATATTCCCATGTCTTTCTTCAGTATTTTTAGGGTTCACAGTGAAGGTCCAGAGGTTAGTGATAGCTTTTCCAGAGTTCTTGTAGTCATTGGGGTTTTAAGGAACAATTTAGTGTACCATAATATACTGTTAACTGCAAAAATCAGATTTGAGCCTTGTTCTGCTGTGACAGCCTTGGCCAAATTGCTTAACCTCTTTATGGCTGTTTACTCATCCATAAAATAAAGCTAATAGTGTGTAAATTATAAGGTTGCTCTGAGTAGGAAATGAGGCAGTGAATGCAGAGTGTTCAGCATATTGCTTGGATTCTCTGTTGATTCTACCCTGTTTTACTGTTAACTCTCTTTTTGTGCCTTAGTTTTTTCCTTCAGGTCACATTTTAACTAATATCTGATGCTTCTTTGGAGAATAAAAAGAATAAAAACTTCTTTAGTCTCTTCACAGGAGTTTGAGACAATTAAAATCTGAAAATAATGAATGTGGAAAGAGTATACATTTATGGTATTCCAATAATAGTCATAGCAGGAAACCTTTTTGCATCACACAGTAATTAATAGCCAGGCGTGGTGGCACATGCCTGTAATCCCAGCACTCCAGAGGCCGAGGCAGGAGGATCACTGTGAGTTGAGACCAGCCTGGGCTACGTAGTGAGTTTCAGGTCAGTCTCAACTACATAGTGAGACCCTGTCTCAAAAAACAAAACAAAAAAACCCCCATAAAAACAGAGTAATTAATAACTGTGTATCCAAGTGGGTGGTAGAATTAATAATTGATTCTGATAGGGATAATAGATAAACAGTTCTTTAAAAGTACAAACCTCTTTCTTGCCTCAGGGCCTTTGCACTTGTTTCTTTTACCTGGTATAGTCTCCCTGTCCTAATGTTTGTCTGTCAAGTACTTCCTTATCAGCAGAAAAGGACACTGTTAGAAAGGACTTTTCTGACCATGTAGTGGGAGTGGTTCCCAGTTGATGTGTTTAAAATCGCTTTTTAAAAAATTACTACTTGGTTCTTGATTTTATTTCCTGTTTTCTTGTCCCAACTAGAATGAAAGCCCTGAAGGGCAGGGACTTTACACCCTATATTGTATATATATTTTTTCCTGCGCCTAGATCAGTACCTGAAAAACATTTGTTGAATAAATACAAAGTATGAAAAATTATCTATAAATATACTTTCTGGACTACTGATGTGTACCGGATAGTTTTCTAATTTTATTTTCTTTGTAGGCATACACATTTATGAGTATCTTTGATTATGCTTTTATAGTATATTTTATTATCTAAATATAAACCTTTTATAATTCATGTTTCTGAAATTGGGATGTCTTATCAAAGGTAGGCTTTTATTTGACAGCATTTTTTCTTTTATCAGTGGTGCATGAGGATGTCTTGAAATCTATAGCATACTAGATTTGATGAAATGGTATATATTTGAAACAAAAATGGGATCAACTATTTTTCCCACTTGAATATCTTGAGCATTTCCCATATTGATATTCTTAGATCTATTTCATTCTTAGTATACAAGATTAAAGATATATCATTTACCTAAATGCTCTTGAATATTTGAGCTTTCCAGAAACAGTAACAATAAGCCAGGCATGGTGGCACACAGCTATAATCCCAGCACTTGGGAGTCTGAGGCAGGAGGAGGATCCTGTATTCTAGACCAGCTTGGGGTGAGCTTAACTTTTGAGATGAGGAGTGACAGGAAAGCTGGGAAGGTAAGCAGGAACTAGGTAATGAAAGGCCTTGAACACCATGCTACAAGTTTTTAATTTTAAAGGTTAAGGGGAATCATTTTGAGCAATGGCAGGACCACATTAGCCTGTTAGAGATCTCTGCCTAAAGATCACTTTAGAGGCAAGCATGCAAGACATGTTGGGAAACAATCTGGTAATCTAAGTGAGAAAATCAAGACCTTACCTCAATAGGAATAGTTTATTGGGAAAATGGTAGTCATTTGCTCACTTTATATAATATTTAGCTCTGTTAATCAGTTACAGATTAACTTTTTTTTTCTTTTTTTTTGGTACCGGGGATCAAACTCGGGCCTGTGCTTGAGAGGTAGGCAGCGGAACCATTGAGCTAAATCCCTGGCACAGATTAACTTTTATGGAGCTGAGTTTATTATTTTGCAGAGCTGACATATTAGTTGTCCAGTTGTTTTTCAGTCCTTTATATCTGCAAGATGTTTATACTTTTAATAGTGTGGCACTATGTGGAGACGGTTAGTAGGTATTTTGATGATTATAAAAATTAAGAGATGTAAACCTTTTTGGTGTGCTTAATGATTATCTTAGAGGGCAGGAATATTAGAGTGTTTGGTTTTGTGAAAAGCAGTGATTTGTTAGATTAAGTTTAGGTTATATAATTTATTAATTTATAATTTCTGTATGGTAATTTCTTTTTCTTTTTCTTTTTTAAAGGCTATTAGTGAAAGATGGTGGATCGCTTGGCCAACAGTGAAGCAAATACTAGACGTATAGGTATAGTGGAAAGTTGTTTTGGAGCAGCTGGTCAACCCTTAACTATACCTGGACGAGTTCTTATTGGAGAAGGAGTCTTGACTAAGTTGTGCAGAAAGAAGCCCAAAGCAAGACAGTTTTTCTTATTTAATGATATTCTTGTATATGGGAATATTGTCATCCAGAAGAAAAAATACAACAAACAACATATTATTCCCTTGGAAAATGTCACTATTGATTCCATCAAAGATGAGGGAGATTTAAGGAATGGATGGCTTATTAAGACACCAACTAAATCATTTGCAGTTTATGCTGCCACTGCCACTGAAAAATCAGAATGGATGAATCATATAAATAAATGTGTTACTGATTTACTCTCCAAAAGTGGGAAGACACCCATTAATGAACATGCTGCTGTCTGGGTTCCTGACTCTGAGGCAACTGTTTGTATGCGATGTCAGAAAGCAAAATTCACACCTGTTAATCGTCGTCACCATTGCCGCAAATGTGGTTATGTTGTTTGTGGCCCCTGTTCTGAAAAGAGATTTCTCCTTCCTAGCCAGTCCTCTAAGCCTGTGCGGATTTGTGACTTCTGCTATGACCTGCTTTCCACTGGGGACATGACCACGTGCCAGCCTGCCAGATCAGACTCTTATAGTCAGTCATTGAAGTCTCCTTTAAACGATGTATCTGATGATGAGGATGATGATAGCAGTGACTAAGGACACATTCTGAAACATTTAATCAGGTGTGACTGTGAGAAATCAGCTCTGGGGAAAATGGAAATTCTTAGTGCTCTCTCACTTTCACTCTAGCCATGACTTTGCCTGAGAAAGTTTGTACCCGTGTGCCTCAATATAGTCTGTAGGAAGTAGGTCTGCCCTCCTCCTCCCCTCCCATTTTTCTGCAGGGATAGACTGTTGCAGATGTATTTGGTTTCTTATTCTTATTTCCAGATTATTTTCTTGGAGGGTTGGGTAAAATGTTTATTTAATAGATTCTGTACCACATTGTTATTTTTATTTCAGTTATATGGAAAAACTAAAAGCTCAGAATAATGGGAACAGGAGTATAATATGATTAAAATAATAACTTTTTTCTAATCATCCTAATGATTGCAATGCCAGTGATAAAAATACTGTACATGATTGGGAAATACGTTTTTTGCTTTATACCAAGTGGTGCCTTAATGTAATAGCGTTGTTACATGAAATATAAGCCCTTACTGTCTCACTTTTTGGTTTAAAAACACACTGGTGCTCTTTGAAATACGAATGAGTATGATTAGGAATACTTATCTGACAGCTATAAATCACTAAATTTAGAAGGTATCTTCATTCTTTATGAATAAGTTTTTCCATAAAATAGTTGTAATTATATTTTTATGTTTTATAGGTACCAAATTAAAATTGTCAAACATATATTTTAAATTATAAAAGGTTGCCATTCTTTAGAATTTGATTTGAAGATTATCAGTTATACAGAAATGTCATTGCATTAGCTTCACTCTCAGCAAGATTTTTTTAGATACAAATTCATCTGCTTTATTTCTAGAATGAAAAATCTTATAAGCCCTTGAAAATGAACAGTCTCTTAAAAATTCCATGATAAGAATACTGATCTACTTAGTCTTGAAGATTTGGAAGAAATAATATATAAATGATCAAGACAGATCACTTCAAATTTGACTAGACTTCATATCTGTGGAAGTGTTGTCTATTTCAGTATGAAACTATCTTGAATCTACAAATAGTGTTATATTTTATAAAAGTTTTGTAAAGACCCAATTTCTATTTTTGTAAAACAATTGTATGTTTTATGTTTTTCTGAAAAATTTTGCAATCTATGGAAATAGGCTAGCATTTGATACTTCTAAATCAGTGTAGATTGCTTTTGAGAAGTTATTTTCACTTTTTGCTTCTGGGGCAACCATTAGGTTTGAAAGTGTTTATCATATAAAATTTGATGCATTTTGCACTACTCATTTCATTCGTATGCTGCAAATAAATTCTACAGTTTATCAAATATGGAAAATCAGTCTAAAGTTTAAGTTCTACATATTTTTAACTTCTAAATTAAAAATCTGATTATTCTGTAAATTTCATGAAGTTTGATCCAATATTGTGGTGGAAATTCTTTGGTATCTTACTGTTTGACTAAGGCACTAATTTTACTTTATTGTTAAATTTTGAAAGCACCTGAAGTATACAGATCTCCCTGTGAGAAATGTGAAAGAAAAGCACAACAGAAACTAAGGGTTATTTTATTTTATTTTATTGTGGTTATTGCTGTTTGTTTTTGGTTGGTCTTAATAGCAGATGGATTTTTGTTTCTAAGCAATAAGTACTTAAAATCAGTCAGTATATCTGAAAAGGACCATGAAACCTGAGAATGCGAATGGAGACGCTGGTACAGAGGAACCTAGTAAATTCAGAACCAAGGGAAATGTTCTGAGATATCATGTGGATTGTCAATCTCTCTTGACTCTTTTTATAATAAAAAATATTTTGCAACTTCCTGTTTTCTGCATATTGTGACTTCCCCTTTGCTAAGATAATAAAGCTATTATGCATATTTTGCCTCATTATTTGACAGTTAATGAGTGCCTACTACATTCAAGGCATTGTTCTACACAGTGTGAGTAGTGAACAGATATTCCTTCCTTTCTATGGAGTTTACATGCAAATAGAATCCAGGATGTGTTATCATCAAGAATGAAAAAAGTTGTAAATCTTGGTTATATATAAAATGTGAAATAACTTTGGTGATTTTTCATGCTGTTCTTGAATGAAATTTATTTGGACTACCCAATGCCTTAATTGAATTGGCATTTGTTAGTGTAGGAAAAATAAGATTCTATAGATATAAAGGAAAAATACTAAAACATACCCCAGTACAGAAATTCAAACCTTTTGGTCAAGTGCATAACATGGCCATGGTAAAAATAAAATTATATGTTTATCACCTTTATGTCAAAATACTTACAAATAGTACTAAATTATACCTTATGACTTTTTTTTTCTGGGTACCAGGGATTGAACTTGGGACCTTGCACTTGCGAGGCAGGCAGCAGAACCACTGAGCTAAATCCCCAGCCCTATACCTTGTGATTCTTGGGGGTCCCCAGTATTTGACCTGTAATCTTCTCTGTCTTAGGTATATTAACTTCATTCTCAAATAAATGTGACTTTAAGCAATGTAGTAATGGTTATCTGCATACCCACATGTATTACAGTGCTATACATTTTATCAGATTTAATAGTCATTTAAGATGAAAATATAGTAAAACCTTGGATTGTAACTTGTTCTGAGTATTCTGCAAGACAAGCAAACATTTCTAATAAATTTTAACTTGATGTATGAGTAATGTACATTTCATGAATGTCACATGGTCACAACTGAACCAATGGTAGTTCTGTCCTGTCCCCCACCACCACCCTGTCTGTTTTCTCACTGTGGGGTCGTGGGTGATCAACTCTCAGCAGCAAGAAGTTACAGAGGCCATCTCATCTGCAGAGGAAGAGAAGTAGAAAGATATCCTTCACTTCAAATGAGATTAGTGAAATGTGGGGAACTGCAAGATTTTTGCACTAGCAAATAAAAGCACTATCTGTTGTAGCAATGTGAGCAATGACTTTTGCAGGGGTGTGTAAGACAGAGTCTCACTAAGCAGTTCAGTCCTTGAACTTGGTTTGTAGCCCTGGCTGGCCTTGAACTTGTCAGAGAACCTCCTGCTTCAGCCTCCTGAGTACTGGGATTACAGTTGTGTGCCACCATGCTTGGCCATGAGTGTGTTTAACAACAATGCAATGTCACATTTCTGTGATTTTCAGGAGGCAAAAGCAAGTGGTGTTGGATAGGTTCCTTAAAGTTGGAGGGAAAGAAAAAGCATCAACTGGGCCAGTAGGTAGCAGAGATTCTCTTCATGATAGTGAAAGTCATCCTCTCCCTCACACCAGCCATCAAGGTTTTCAAAGGTAAGTGCAGGTTTATTATTTTTTCTCTGTATTATGTCAGTTGTAATCACTTTATATGAATATTTCTGGGTTATGGAATGAATTGTCTTGAGTTTCCATTTTCTCATTTTTAAAATGCTTTGGATTACAAGCATGTTTCTGGATTGAATTATGCTTGCAAACCGTTATTTTACTGTATGTCAAATTGTGTCATTTTTTGATAGTTTTTTAAAAGTCTAAGGCAAAATTATTTTAGGGCCACTACAAATCACCTGTTATGCCAGGCTTTATAGTGTTTACTGTGGCTTGTTCCTACCAAAACTTAACGTTGTTGTCCCCAGTGTGGCAGTGTTAGGAGGTGGGGCTTAAGGGTAGATGTTTAGGTTGGAGTGGAGCTCTCCTAAATAGATTAATATTTTCAGGAGTTTTCCCTCTTATGGGACTGGATTATTTACTGCAAGAACAGGTTGTCTTTTTGCTTTTTTGATGGAATTGTTTGAAGCACAAAATTAAAAGTTTAATTTTGATAAAAGTCCAGATTCATTTGTTGCTTATGCTTTTGGTATCATGTCTAAAAAAATCTTTGCCTAATCCAAGATAATAAAGATTTACTCCTGTAATTTCTTGCTTTGAATTTGGTGAGGATTCTTGGTTATTGATGCACAGAATTTATCTTTGATATTATCTCCAGAATTACAGTTCAAAACTATTTCCAAAATAGGTAATTCATTAGAATTTCTTAGTGAATTTCCTGTCAGGTAAAAATAGCCGTGATTCTATCAACTTTTTCTTTCAATTCAGTAGGTGAAGTTATACTTTTGGATGTACAGGAGGTAGGCTCCGAAAAATTCTATATGTTGAAGGTACAGCTTTTTTTGGGAGCTAATGTTATTTGGCTTTTCTAGCCAGTTACTACTGGAAAGAATGCCCCAACTTGTATAGACATTTCTCAAAAGATATACAAACCAGCCATGGTAGTGAATATTTATAATCCCAACTCTGGGGGGCTGAGGGAAGAGGATTGCTGAAGCCAGCCTGGGTAATTTAGTGAGATCTGGTCTCAAAAAGGGGTTGGGGTGTAGTTCAGTGATAGTACTCCAGGGCTGCATCTGCAGTACTGGAATAAACCGAAACACACTCATGGACACAGCCATGTGTATGCAAACATGCTCAACATCACTAACTGGGTAGACAAAACCACAATGAGGCTGGGTGTGGTGGCACATGCCTGTAATCCCAGCACTCAGGAGGCTGAGGCAGGAGGATCACTGAGTTTGAGACCAGCCTGGGCTGCATAGTGAGTTCCAGGACAGTCTCAACTACATAGTGAGACCCTGTCTCAAAAAAACCACCCCCCCAAAAAAAAGAACCCCACAATGAGAAGCCACCTCACATCTCTTAGAGGGCTGTTACAAAAAGATGAAAGATAAACATTGGAGAGGATGTGGAGAAAGAGGCAACTCTGGCATACTGAGTGGGAATGTAATTTAGCACAGCTCTTAGGGAAGGTACTGTGGATGTTCTGCAAGAAACGATAGTAGGGGCAGGGGATTTAGCTCAGTGGTGCTGCCACCTGCCTCACAAGCGCAAGTACCAAAAAAGAAAAGTGTTGTGGCACATTCCCATAATCCCAGCTGCTTTGGAGGCTGAGGCAGGAGGATTTCAAGTTCACCTGTACAATTGGAGCAAGATCCTGTCTCAAAATTTTAAAGAAAAAGATTTGGGGATTTAGGTTAGTGGCTGAGCACTGGGCTAGCTCGTGCAAGGCCTTGGTTTCAATTTCTAGTGCTATAAACAACCCAAAACTAGAATTGCCATATGACCTAGCAATTCCACTACTAGGTATCCAAGGGATATGAAGTAAGTATGTCATAGAAATATCTGCGCTTGCATTCAGTGAAGTATTCACAACTGCCAAGACACTGAAATCAACCTAAGTGTTCTTGAACAAATGAATGGGTGCAAAATATATATTATTCTAAGTCTTTAAAAAGAATGAAATCTAGTTATTTATAACAACAGGGATGGGATGTCCCAGAAGGATGATATGTTAAGTGAAATAAACCAATACTTTATGATCTTACTTGTAGCATTTTTTTTTTTTTGTACCAGGGATCGAATTTGGGTCCTTGTGCTTTCGAGTGGCAGTGGAACGACTGAGCTAAATCCCTGGCCCTACATGTAGCATTTTAAATTGAGCTCACCTAGAGCCAAAGTAGAATAATGGTTGTCGGGTTGAGGGGAACAGGTGGATGGCATTAGGGACATGCCGTAAAGCTTTAGATAGGCAGAATATGTTCTTGAAATCTTACACAACATGCTTAGTAGGTTTTGTATCCTCAGCAAAACTGTTAAGAATGAGAGAGAATATATGTTATGGCTTGTATCTAGATGTCCCCTCAAAGCCTCATGCACTCATAGGTGGGGCTTTTTGGAGGTGACTGGATCTAGGGTGTGTGATAACTAAATTAGCCCACTGATTGCTTCAGCATTGTTCTGGGTGTGGATAAAGGAAGGTCCATTCTGGATGTGGGTGGCACCAACCAATAGGCTTGTAGCCTGGATGGAATAAAAGGACTAAAAGGGAAAGGAAGGCTCACTGCTGCTGCTGCTTTGCCACCTCCTGCCTGTTCTGTTGTGAACCATTTCTCTGCCATATGCCCTGCCTTAGAGCCACGTGACTATGGATTGAAACCTCTACAAACTGAGCTAAAAAACTTCTTCCTTTAACTTGTGGGTGTTGAATATTTTGTCCTAGCAATTAGGAAGTGACTAAGACAATGCATTAATGCAATTTAACTATTCTGTAATTTATATATATTTTAAGATGTGCAGTAAATAAGATACAAGTTGCCTTTAAAACATTTCAAACAATAGCTCGAGATAAATTATTTTGATTTACACCATTACAAAAGTATTCAGGTAAAGTCTTAAGTTTAGAATTTTAAAATAGATCATGCTTTCTTATAGGAATATTCTAATTAAGGAAATTCCAGAGCTTTTCACTCAGTATTTATTGAAAACTCTAATGTGTTGCTTACTATTAAGAGAGAATTGATTGGAGACTGGGATGTAGATTAGTGGTAGAGCACCTGCCTAGCATATATGAGGCCCTGAGTCAATACTCAGCACCAAAAAACACAGTACAAAGCATGAGTTGAAATAGCAATTCATTATTTTCATGACTTTGATATTTTAAAATTGAATGTGCCAGGGCCAGTGATTTAGCTCAGTGGTGCTGCCACGTGCCTCACAAGCAAAAGGTCCTAGGTCGATTCCTGGTACTCCCTCCCCAAAAGACAGTGTACCAGTGATTTTGTAGAATGATTATGGATTGCTTGTTTCCTCATTAAATTCAGATTACCTGCATAGCAGGAATATCATGGAAGTTCTGATGTATTTTCATCACATGCAGATGGTGCTCAATTTCAAGTTGTCCCATTACTATGCTTGTTCACTTTGATCATTTGATTAGGGTGATGTAGTCCAGATTTTATTGTAAAATTATTTTTGTAGTGTTTTATGAGGTGGTATATTTGAGACCATGGAAATATTATATTCATCAAATTTTAAGTTGTTTATCTTTTAATACTAATATGGACTCATGGTTTCCTGGTTTAGTAGTTCTCAAAAGTGAGTATAGGTCAAAATCACTAGTGGAGAGTGTTAGCAAACTGCTCACTTCATAGCCAGGGCCGGGAGTGGAGAAAAGAAGCTGGAATCTCATGGACCCCGCAAAGGCACCGCCCCCATGACTTCAGGGTGTCCACCAGCCCAAAACTTCCCAGTGGCACCACCCTGGGACCAATCTTCTAGTAGAGACCTGTGGGAGACATCAAAATACAGCCAAGGGCCATTTGGAACTGACTGCCAGTCCACGCCGAGAGTTCCTGCTGTGGGTGCGGAGTAGGACGTTTCTAACAAGTTTGCAGGTGATACCATTCCTGCTGGTCCGTAGGCCATACTTTATCATTTTGATAATCTAATGTCTTTAATTTGGCCAGTGGTAGACTGGCTTCTGTGGCCCATTCATAAATTGCCTTCATTACTTTTTTCCTACAAGATGTTCCAGGCTCATCTTGTATTTTCCGTGTCTCAGCCCAGCAACTGGCAATTTTTCCAAGGAGCCTTGGTTTCTCTCACTGAGAGTGGCACTTAGAAGCCAAGATCTGAACACTAGATGTACTTGTTGCTTTGCGTAAAGCTCTATTACCAAGTCCTTTCATAAGACAAATGTAGGAAATGTGTACATACACTCATACACACAGAAATTTCTAAATTGCTGTATCTGTATATATTGAAATCCATGACTTCATACCGGTGTCTCCCATTCTAACAATATGATAGGATTCCTCTCTCCTCTGACATTGAGGACTGAGTCCTATTAGCTTTAAGATACTTAAAAGGGCACAGTGGCCTAGGCCTGCAATACTGGCTACTCAGGAGATCGAGGCATGAGGATCACAAGTTTGAGGCCAGCCTGGGCAAATTAGTGAGAACTTGCCTCAATAAATAAAAAGGACTGGTGGATGTAGCATAGTGGTAGAGTGCTTGCCTAGCATACAGGAG